TTTAATTTTGAAGGTTACATTTCTACTGTGAGAAATAATGTCCATTCTCGTGCATGGAGAGCTCCAATTGATTGTAGCTATCGTGTCGAACGTTGTTGCTTTGTGAAGGTTTCTAGCATTTTGTACTTATGATTGCATTTCTCAAAAATTATTTTAATTTATTGGTTGTAATTTATTAGCTACTTTTTTATTTTTTTATTTTTCTTTTGGGTGGGGTGGGGGTGGGGGGATTATTATTATTATTATTATTATTTGAAATGAGCACACCACCAAGTATCTATAATGACATTTCTTGATATTTATATCGTTGCCAGCAAGGAGGTGAAATTATAGATCTTGAGCCTTGTCTCCAACATTCATCAAATATCGAGCCTACTTTTGTTCCAGTCTTTTTGGAGAACAAAAAGATTACCAGGGCTGCAGCTTTGGTATGTTCTTATCTTTATGTGCTTGAAGATACTCACAGAGAATGTACTCTCAAATAGTTATACTGTTATACATTCTTTCATAGCTGCATTTGTGGTTCACTATGATGTGTTGCTAAAGATGCTTCACTTGTAATACGCTTGATTCTCTAGAATAGAATTGCTGAATGTTCTGAATATACAGTGTAATTTTTCTTTAAATTATGTCGACAATGATGTATGTCAATGGGTTCAAAGAGGCTGCATCTTTGAAGGTATCCTGTTTTTTTGCATAGTTAGTTTTGACATGCTGCTCATTACTGGTCCTAACACTTCTTGAAAACTCTAATATTATATATTATAAGGATAATTTGCTGACTGCCTTACAAGACCTTTATGGCTATCTGATTGGTGGCGTCTTAATTACGTGATACTGAATATTTCTTCAAAATTTATCTCGAATTGTACCAAATAATATGTTCTTGATATTTATCCATGTGCCCATGTTGTTTTTAAGTCATTCAGATATCATTTCGAGCATCATTTAGTTTTTTTGCTTTCATTTTCTTGAACGCGGTTGTTCTTAGCCGTGGAGTCATCAGTCATCATGAGAAAAGTACCTAGTATGCACCAAGCCTTTATTTTCAGTAATATGTATTAATATATTCATGTGCTATAAATGTCATATTTACTTTCACTTTTCATATTATTCAACTATTGGAAGAACCTACCGACAGTTATATTCAATTCCTTCCATTTCCTCTGAACAATTAGTTTGTGGCCCCATATTATCTGACTGATAGCATAGTTTCTGATAGAGGTTAAGAAAGTGAATTATTTTTGCTCAAGGATAGGGAAAGCAAGAATGGGATAAAATAAATGACGTGATATTGGAAGCACAAATGATGGGATTGACTGGAATCGTGGGATCCTGCGGCTATCAAATTGTTATCTTATATATTTTTTATTATTTACCTTAAATACATAGTATGCTTATTAAACGGGAGTGAGAAAGTGCAGATTATGCATTAGGAGAAATAATATTAGTTGTCACGCTTTAGATTGAGCGGGAGATTATTTGCCGAGGAGAACCTTGTGTTCGCCTTTACTTTCTATATAATAATATGTAGTTTATATCACATCGGCCTTTTACTTCTATCATAACGATACAGTTAATGAGGCATAAGTGAGCTGATTCATTTTTCGTTCTAATTGTTTTGATGTTTTCTTAGTAAACTGCATTTGACATGCTCCACCACCCAACCCACACACCGTTTAAAAGAAAAACATGGCTAACCTGCTCTTCACAATTATGCAGAAGGCATTAGCTCAAAAGAGGTTTTTGAGTTCAATGCGGTTTCAGTACAGTTTCTCTATGGAGCCTTGGTATGGTCTCTCTCTCTCTCTCATTTGCAGACAAACTTTTTATTTTATCTCATTAGTCTTTATTGTTCACTACATGCAGTTATTTATGAAGAAGTTATGAAGCTATGTTTGTAGACAGTTTTATTAAAGCTGCATAAAATCATTCAATTAGAATTAGAGTAGTCCACTTCTCGCTGTCCTGTATCATACAATGTTCAGTACACTATATGGGAACGAAATGCAGATTAGTAGTTACTGAAATAACTTGGGTCTACTCATAAGCATGCACCTCTAAATTTCACCACGTTACTGTTGAATTCTAAGGTGCACTTGATATTTGTGAAATATTCCCTTTGGAAAATTTATTCAAAGGGCAGTTACAAGGTTGGGATATCAGTTTCTATCCAGTTGGAAATTTCCATTGGTCACAAACTTTACATTTATGTACTAACTGATCAACTACATCTCTTGTTCTTTATGTCCCTTACTTTTAATTTCTGTTTTATATTCTAGGTACGAATACAGCATAAATATTGTTGCTGACCAAGGTTTGAAGGCGCCCCTCTATACATCTGCACGCTTGAAAAAGGGAGAAGTACTCTATGTAGAGACTCTTTTCGGCAGGTAACAAAGAGAGACTACTCATTTTTGAGTTTCAGAGGTTACCATATTTCTTTTACCTGTCACTCTGTCAGTGATTATTCACCTCTATCAAACTCGTTTTGTCA